AGGATGTGATATTAGAGATATTGTCATTAAGTGAGTCAACATTAAACAAATCCCATCTTGTGTCACTGAGCATGTTTCTAAGATGATGTACGTTCTCATTTGAGTAGCATCTGTGAACAACTTTCTTAGACAAGTTTGAGAGGGCTTTACTGTGTAACTTTCCGTAAATTTTGGGTAAGACTCGTACAATACAATGATCAGAATTGAACAGTGGGGCTCTTTTACGAGCTTCGTATATTCCAGATTCATTTATAAATACTAAATCAAGTGAAGTATTTTGTCGAGATGAGAAATTAACAAAATTTTCATGGCACAGCAATGTAATAAAACTGCAGTCGCTGGAGTTGAAGTCGCCGGTCACTATAGATAAGGAGTTACCAAACGAAGCAGCAGCAAAAATAGTGAATTCACCAGCGAAGATCGATAGTTCTGAGGGACTGCAACAAGGTGTGACATAGATATTTGTGACGAAAATGGAGCTATACTTAGGCAAGTGTTTAGGTCGACATTTTACAGTTATACAGTCAATATTGTCATTTGAGAATTTGGAGCAGACGTTGTTGGCAGTAGACCACTGAGAATTAATAAAAGTGGCAACACCACCACCTCTCTTCTTCTTTGAGCTGCATCAGTCTTGTCTGTAGATTGTGAACCCACTTAAGGAGACTAAGTTATCGTCATATGAATCATGGAGCCAAGTCTCTTGAAGAGTGATTACACCAGTATTACAATATACATTTGAGTATAATAGAGAATGCAAGTAGTTAATCTTGTTCGATAATGACCTGCAATTTGTGCTCATAATCACAGGAACAGTCATCTGATGCATTGGAGTACACTTTAATGATCTCTGCCAACCTCCATGATGCTTTTTCTTAACGTTATTATGTACTCGTAAATCAACGGGTTGAAGACATTTTAAACAATTGCGAGAGTAAGTAATGCGACTTGGATACATAATTGAATGATTAAAACAAAATAAATCCAAGGAAATGGATGCAATATGTAGGATGGAAATTTTGGTAGCCCAAGATTTAAGCAGGCCGCCGTAATGCTAAATTTGTATAAAACACTTGTTTGTAGACTTATACTGATTTCCTCTTTTTTTACCAAACAATATAACTTCCTTCTTACAATACTGGTGTTTTGGAGTTTAAGTCGAAGAAAGTACATAGTATTTATCGGTGCGGATCGTCTTCGTAACAATAGGAACTCAGGGATAAGTTCCTTGACAGCCCCATCTCCAAAATTTAGTGGAACTGCAAGTTTTTACAAATATCCACAATACCTATAATCTGAAGTGAGACTGTCCGTCAACGAAAATAAATTTTTGTCTCCTCGACACTATGAAACACTCGATGTGTTGTTCTGTCACAGTTAGACATGACATTTCAATCCCAAATATCAAGACGTTGTGTGGTTTATTATTTCTCTGGAAGCAATTTAACCATTGGACTGCGATATTTTCTGTCGTGGGACAGAAACTAAACACTGTATCGATTGGTCTCCTCACTGCATTCAGTAAGTAGAAAGGTTCGAAATGAATGTATCCAACGTCTTTGTGGGGTATTGCAAACATGCTCTTTAGGCATTCCTCGAAATTTACACCAGTGGTTGTCCATTTTCGTTCTGCAGTAAAGCAGCGCAGATGTTCGTGTGGGGGATAAAACACGTTCGTCGATTGGATCTGAACCGATCCGCTCTCAACAGTCAGGTTGTTTTCCTGTGCTGTTAAAATCAGACTGCAGTCGGGCGGGTTTTCGTCCAACTACAGCGAAGCCAGTGACTTGTGGCATGGTTGTGCATCACTATGGCGTCTTCATAAAGCTGTAAATAAACGCACACTTCAGCATCGGTAAGTTTTATATCCTCGTTTCACTAGTTGTTGCTGCGCTAAGAGCAGTTCTGGTTACGGGCTAGATAGGCCAGACTAAAGTGTAAGCCGGAATTTTGGCCTAGCCAAGGCCTAGTATGACAGATGGCCCTACAGCACTGCCGAGACTGATTTCTTTCTTAAGCCAACCGGAAACGACCTTAAAATCGTTCAAGTAGGGTGACCACCTATGTTCCTAGACTCGGTCAGTCTCACATCAATTGCGCTTTCTCACTCCAGACTACGTAATTCGCTAACGACGAATTCGATTATGTACATCACCAGTTTACCAAGGTAGCTGGCCGTTGCCCAGGTTGTTTGAAGTGACTTGTCCTCCAAATGTAGTCGAAAAAAGTACAACTCTGATAAGCTTGGCCTCAGACGCTTGAAAAAGTCATTTATTTTTAAGTGAATTCGATCTGGCTAGCAAGAAGTACTGTTCGGCAATTTGTGGAATGTGGTATCAGACTATCTCGCTTGCACTGATCTCGGTTAACAGTACCACGTCTGTGTGGTGGTTACTCCTGACCTAAAATACTGAATCCTAACGCGAAGAATCAGTAAATACTTATGTTGGATCAGTAATGCCCTGAGAACGTTTCCGTAGTCCAACAAATTTTATGTGGTGTCTTCTAGAAAGGGCAAGACTTTTGAGACATTCGTGCAAAAGGTAGTAGCTGCTTGAAAGTCATTCGTGTTCGCTTTTGACGTACGGAGCTAAAGACGAGAAGATATTGCCAAGACAAGTCAAGAACAGTCACGGCAGATAAACCTCCTGGTTTCCATCCTAAACAACCTATCATGATGATTATCTCCACTGAAGTATTTTTGACAGGGGCAGAGTAAAGTACTGAGAACCACAAATTTCTCATAATTCTGTGCAGAGGCAATTACATTTCAAACGATAAATCCGTGCATTTGATCTCAGTCAAACTTCTGCATGGCTATCCCAGGTTCTCGCCTGTCATTCCTCTGGCTCACTTTGAGAATGATGAGAGTTGGATTAAATCTTGCTGAAATTCCGGTCGTTATTAAAACCATGGTGCTAATGTGATAGTTATCTGTTCCATTCGTTTACCTTCAGTTTGAGAAAAAATTGAAGGGAATAATAGCGAAAGCAACAATAGTAATATTAATAAAGGTGACTAAGCCGGAGGAAAGTAAGCAAATGAAAAAATCAGAGCAGGAAAATAAATTTATTACTGCGTTGGTAATGGTAGCAAAGGCTAGCTATATTTCTCTGAATTAGTTTCGATGGAGAACTCTGCGGAGTATTTACGGAATTCTTGATTATTCTGAAAGTAACCACGCTGAGCAAGGAACGGTTTTCACGTCTGTCAGTGGATACTTGAGTGGGTACGTGAAGTTGGCAGTAGCCTACATTATGCACAACTAGAATTATGGCCGTACGCAGGTGAGGCTGTCGGTCTTCCAGTTTTATCTGAAGCCGCTGATACACTGTGGCAAGTAAACAGAGAATTAGATTGGTTAGTTGTCCAGTGCAATCGTGGGTGGGTTGCTAGTCCAAAATACAGGTGACACATTTTGGGCTGAACTTGTTGTTGATTTTAAACAGGAGTCATAGTAAGTAGACCGTTGTTAAACGGATAATTAAGTGTAGATTTTTATTGTGATGGGAGACAAAACAATCTATTGATTTTGTCAGTTGTTTTTGGCGTAGTAGTGTGCAAAACGTAACTGGGATAATTTTTCATTGAGCAGGGATGAATACACCGAATGAAAATCTAGAAAGTGTTTGCTGGTGGTTAGGTGACAGAATACTTGCTTGTCAAGCATGTATTCTGTGTTCAGCTCCCGGCCAACACATCCGAAAACCTCTCCTGGTTTACCAAGCGATAAAAAAGCTTGGAAAAGAGGGGAGATTAGCAATCCCACTCTTCAAAATACAACGCTAACTCTTGAAGCACTATTTTCCACTTAAAACACGATGGAAGGAAAAGGTATTCAAATAAGGAAAGTAGATTATATATGTCCAAACCAAGTTCACTTTTAACGCTTTGAAAAAATTTGGGCACTGGGTATATGATATTCATTATAATAAGGGTTTTTGTATTTCCCAATGAACGAAAACAAAACGATATTGCTTTTCATTCATTGGAAATACAAAAATATTTATTATAATGAAGGAAAGTAGATTATTTAGATTATCGCTTGGAAATAAAAATTAGGAGAATTACAGCTATGTTGTTCTCTGTTGTTGGCGATAAAAAGGGTGACAGGTCTCTGAAACATATCATCCGATGAACGACTGAAGAAACTAAGTGTTTCCACACTAAGCTACCGTCGCCCTTATGGTTAAACTTAATATATCGCATAAGATTATAAATGATCAGAATCACCTAAACATATATATTCTGCCATTAAGCAAGCAATCCACAAAGGTTAGTTCACCAGGGAACAAATACCTAAGTTCAGCCCCACTTCTTTTCACATCAGGTCTGCAGCCCCTGGAACTCTCTACCAGCAGATGTGACTACTCCACCTTCTGTGGAAAGCTCTGAGAGGCTACTGGACAATCATGTAGCGACACAAGCACTGCGTTCAGACGGCCTATTTCCTTAAAGTTCACGTACTGTTATTTGGTATGCATCTAGACTTACCTTTTCATATCTTCACATTATCCCTTGTCATATTCTTCTGACCTCTCTAATTATTATTTCCCTCACACTATTAATATTAGTAATATATTTACATGTATATATATATATATGTATCAGTCTCGAATTGCATTAGCTGAATGTACTAAAGCTTTATTTATTTTTTAGGTCTAAAAATCTAAGCTATTTACATCTGTTGTTATTATTACTTTCTTTTCAACCACACTAGACGACTAACGGGTGGAAGTATCAATCCCATTCACAATAGCGACACGGTCTTGAGACAGAGCATACTGAAAACCACATGTAAGAAACCTAAGCACCACTCCTTTTAGAGCCAACCAAAGCTCTGACAGTCTAGCTACAAGATGCCCTATGTAGACGTTTTCCGATGACCAGTAACCATGACCTTGCAACTAGGAAGTGACCGCAAAGAAACCCAATTGGTTTACATTGGCCAGTAAAAGCAATATTGCATATTGTATACTGGTGTTTTTAAAATTGGCGTGGTTCATTTCGGTAGCTTTGATGATTGTTTTGTATATCATCAGATTGAAACGTTGTCAGACTAATGTTTGTTAAAATGGATGTTGCTAAGGTCAGCTGTAGCGTTGCGCATTATGAATTTGATATATGTTATTATTTTTCCAATGACACTGGTTTGAAGATAATGCTTTAGTTCAACGACTAAGCCAAATACACACAAACTTCTTTTTAGGTTAATGGATGACACTCTAAATGTAAATGCAAGAATATATAATTAATGTTGGTTCCTTCATTAGAATCATTGCAGTAAATTGCCTAGTTTTTGTCATTTCACAGAAGATGAATGTGGAGGATCATCAGGCGATTCATCTTCTGACGATGAAACTATCTTAGATAAAGAGACCACGGAAGGTCAAAAAATTGAACAGCAGTCTACTCAACCATCACTAGGACTAGTTGACGAGGAAAATATTCTCATACTTCCCCCAGAAGACGATGGCGAGAAAACTGACAGCGATGTTGATTCACACAAAATTCATTCGGAATCAAAAAAATCTTCCTGTTTGTTCTTCGTTTAGATTTGCGAATATTAATAATTTTTATTAGCTGATTCTCATATTAAGAATAAAACGCTCCATGAGTCAGCGGCAGGAGTCAGTAGACAAGCTTCCAAGAAACGCAAAAAGAAGCGGTAATGAATTTGCTGATTTTCTTACAATAGATCTCTTGTATAGACAACTGACAGTAAATCTTTCGAATTGCAAGTATGAATCAGGTAATTTCATAATGTGATTCATAAAAAGTTCAATCGTCAATGTAAAATTGCATTTTTTTGAGCCATCTTCTTTCTCCATATGTGACCTATTATTAAACCTTCCATGATCGAATACATTTTTATACTCGCAGTCTATTTTAAAGTATGTGCTAGCCTAATACAGTTAGTTACTTTTATAAATTTTGTGAAACAAGAACAACAAACACTGAATTAAGTTTCTCTTTGTGTGGTATAAATCTTCCATGAACGTTAATTCGCCTGCGAAACGTGGGAACTGGTGCTCGAATTATTCATTATTATTTGCTTATCATCATCTATTCTGGCTGCCTAGATGCTGCTGCTAATAAAAGTTCACAAGGAATGGTGCCTCGGATACAACTAGGACGTTGTCGCCATATTACGTTTTACATTAGATCTCTTGTTTTATACCCGAAAATTAGTGAATAAATCAGCCAATTAATGGTCCAAAACCCCCACTTTTCCCACTGTCAGTATGAAATAAATACACACAAAAATAATAAAACTATGGTGAACTGGCCTAGTCAAAAACTATCTTGTTCTTTGTTGATACTTATCCTCTGATTTTGATACTGGTGACCAGCTTATCTGGATAGATGATCACAGTCTCCAACCTTATTTATTGCACCTGACTGAAGTGTATTTTTAGGTTAAATTAGATGAGACTTTCTTCAAGCAACTCAATTTTGTTGATCAGCGAAAATTTCCGAAGGTTTAACACATAATCATTTTTTTCGGTCTAATGCAACTTAATCTCATTTTTCATTTTTTTTTAAATCCTTTATTTATCCTTTGGCGAAACCGTTAACAACTCCCTTTTTTATTATTTATAATTTTCTTCGATGGGTGAAACTGTTAGAATTTAGCCTCCTTAACTTCTTACTGAAAGAGATACCTACGTCCCATTGGGGTTCCTACCCGTAATTTCTCTGCTCTAATAGTTTAACTCTCTATGATCAGTAATAAAACATTTTTCGGCTTTAAAATATTCTTATACGTATTTCTCTTATCCTATGTATTATCAGCTTATTGATTTTATAACTAAGTGACAATCTTTATTGTTTTTCGACGAAGATGACGTGAGATGGTTGTTATAAATGTTTAAAGCACCAGCTATGGGGCTTTTTTAAAAACGTCCAAGAACTTAGTAGAAGAAGTGTGAAAGAGTCGATTTTAATGAATAACTTGATCATCTTATGACTCGGCAACAAATCTGGGTCCTCATAATCAGCCGAATTTTTAGCTTATGATAAGTTAGATGAGTAATGGTTTAAGAATTTTCGAAAATAGTCTTTACATTTGATGTCTGTTGTTTTCATGCCTGTCTCTCACAGATCTTTAAAATGCAGCTTATTACAATTTTGATATATAATGATTGAGGGATATGGCATAGAAATATGTTACCTTGCGGGATGACTTTAACACCAGAAGTCAGTCTGCATAATTTTATTGGCAAAAGTGCAGTGAGGGACATTCTAGGAGTATGTACAGTAGTTATCTGAGGTTCATTTCAGGATTTAATAAAACCGGATTTCAAAAACTGCTAGTTAATTGCTCATCGATGGCTAGATGTCAGGCAGATCCTCTAAGTTTATTATGAAAAATCATGATGAGCGATATTTGATAGTCTGAAAATAAGAACTGTTATCTCCCCAAAAGATTAAATCGAGATCATGTCATGTAGTGAGTAGGAAAAGTTTAAAACTCTTGGGGTATTGGTTTGTAAGTAAAATTTCTGTTTCACAACCTAACTGAAACTATTTTGATTTGTCAGCAAGCCGTCTGACTAAACAACTGTAGAATTTCTCAGTAAGAAGTAGGAAGCTGCTCACTGTTTTTTATCTGTCAACGATTCCTTAATCGACGTCCGGTGTCCGTGAAATCTACTTTCAAATCAGTCAAACTAGGCAAACAAAAGTCTAATTATTCTTGTATATTATATAAGCGTTTAATTTGTAAGTGCACAACTTTTATTACAGAGAATTCTTTGAAGCCGATAAACTAAGTAGTCATGAAGCTTGTTTTTATGAGAAAAATTGCTTTCTCTAGTTTTATGTGTTTTTTACTGAACTTCACCAACTTGAACCTGTACAGTTATGTGCAGAGCTCTATGTTCAGAAACTTGTTAGAAACATGTTAATACTGGAGCATCATATTCAGCGATGTCGAAGGTTTTTGTGAAGAGGATCACCAAGGATAAAATATAAATGGTTACTTTAAGTATTTACTAATGTTTAGTAAAAGTGTCACGAGATGCTGTTCATATTTTATTAACTGGGTGGCATTATCATCTCGAGATATTCGTCCCGCATTTAATATCACACATATCTAGCTATTTCATCTATTTCTCAATGGAACTGAAATAGAAAATTATTTTTACATCACAGACACTTGCTTAAATCATTAATATAAATGCGAGATTATATAACGCTAAGAAAATGATTTCTGTTGTTTTTAATTTTGAAGTTCGCAGGGTTTTGAAAAGATATGGCTTTCGAGAAACAGAAGATGATGAAGATTGGTGTCTTTATTGGACCGACTACTCTGTTAATATAGATAGGGTCTTGGTTATGAAACAGTGGCAGGTGAGTTACAGATTAAATCTTAGGAAACATTGTTTCAAAACATAACTATCACGTAGTATTCTTGTTTATGAAAACTAGAATAAATATATAGATGAAAGCAACACACTTTACTAAAATACATCGATTTAATTTGCAAAACAAAAGTTGGAATTATTGATAAATATCTTCCCTGAAATTTCTGTCGAGTAATATGTCATACTAAGTTATTATGTTTCTAAATGTTTGTCACTAGTTAAGACTGGGAGGTACATTTAGTGAGACTAAAAGAATTAGGTATGCAGGTCCATGAGACTAATAAGTGATACTTGGAAAATTTAGGATATTTCACAGAAATCACTGAAAGCCATACGAGCATAGCTCAGAGGTAATTAGAACTAAAAATGCATTAAACTCTCTTCCTATTTTATTTTGAGCCTCTATAATCACTCTGCAATTCTGTTCATTCTTTGCTTGCTGATATCACTTTTCTTGCACTTTTGTACAAAGTTCTGCGTTAGACATACACTTCATTTCAGAGAGATATTCGTAGAGTCAAACCAGTTCACTATTGTATGCAATTCTTTAACTTTCATTTCCTTTTGGATATCTCATCCATAATGGTGCATTTGTTGACTGCGGAGTATTCAAATAGCGAATTTATAACCACTTATTTACTATACACTTAATGATGATCTGCATTAGAGAGTTATTCGCGCAATATTCATTATAATTGGTAATGGTATTTTAGATCAACATTCAGTAAAACTAAGTGTTTGATTCTAATTGCAAACAGTTAAAATGACAGTTTAGGTGCTGGTTTGCAGGGATTTGATTGGTTTGAGGATTTCAACATGAAATGACTTTGATTAGAGGACGACTGAAAATCATGAAACCAATCAAAAGGGAAGCGGCGAGTTGGTCACCGGTGCAAGGGTGACTTGGAGGAGGTCATGTAAAGAGGAGATGAAAGCATGTAGGCAGACATGGAGCGGGGTGAAAAAGTTGGCAGAAAATCGAAGGTAGTGGAGACGCGCAGCTGAAGCCCTATGTTCCTCTAGGAATTAAAGGATAAAATAATATAATAATAATCAAATCCCTCCAAACCAACACTTGAATATAAATCTAATGCTCACTAGTGACTCATCCTGTTCAGATAGATAGTTAACTGGCTTCCAATGGGAAGTCTCAACCAGTGGAGTACAGCACGTCAGGTGTGAGGATAAATACTCACGAGCGATGACATTGGGTAGTGGTCACACAATATCATGAATTTCCGGAAGTTGGGATTCATGCACTGGCAGTTAGATCGGGTCCCAGTGGCCTCATCGTCCACCAGCTTGTTTCGTAACCAGAAGGTCGTGGGTTCGAGTCTTTTGTGGTGAGTATGTGCTGTGAAGAGTCGCAGACGACAAAGAAACAGCTGTGTGGCAGTACTCTCAGGTTTTCCAATGGTTCTCCTACTGATGAAGTCCTAACATGACAAACATGGAATTACATTTATCTACTGCCCTTATCTCATATCGCTGATACTATGACAACTGACATTTTAACTCTTCATCAGAATGAAAACATTTATAGTTTCAGCGCATATTGTTCCACAAATCAAATTTGTATTTTAAATTTACTTAGAACTCTTACGGTAAATATCAGTTAATTGAATAATTAATCGGTCGTTTTGTAGTCACTTGTACTTTTAAAACCTGAATTCACTAAAAATGCCTTAAGTGGTCAAATTATCCTATAATAATTACACTTCCCAGCAGCATTAGTTTATGCCATTTATCATGCAGCTGTCATTCGACAAGTACCTGATCTTCCACTAGTTTTCAGGAGTACTTCATCTAAACATTTTCAGTCACTCAAGAAGTTTTGATATTTATTGATTCAGGTTTGATCACGAGCTGAAATCACTGAAAACCCAGGGAATACTGAATAGCCATTTCATCCTAGCCTGGGACTCTTCAACAGAATCCTCCCACTGTGGTTCAAACCTAGGACCTTCTAGTAAAAAAGGAGAGTTCGTGGGGCATTTAGCCACAGTGACCAGATTCAATGGAATATAAATGCCATTTTCTGCCAATCGGCCCAACCGCGGGACAGTGTGATAGGCAAGAGATAGCTATCTGACCTCACTTAGTGGACATCGCTATTCACCAAAGTGCGCGCTGGTGAGGATTCCCAAACTAGGACGGAACAACTTCCTAGTACTCCCCAGTTTTTCGATGGTTCTCTAACTGATGTTAACCCGTGATCAAACATAATAACCAATCAAAGCCTTGCGAACCAACACTCGGTGATTTATTGACTCCTCACCAGTCTGTCAAAGGCATTACGATATTTTAGTCTAGTGTTTCACTTCTTTAAGAGTAAAGATAAAAGATACTACTAGGTATAATAATTAAAAACAGATTTAAGGTTGAAAGGGAAAAGAAAATCAGGAATAACACACGAGATGTAGTCACAGTGTTTCCACGTTGCTGTAGTATACACAATTATCGCTAATTTGCTGAGAATTTCTTTACATGATTCTTGATGTATGTAACTTTTTAGAATGATAACAGTGTTGACATGACCTTTACAAAGTAACATTTTTGAAACAGTTGTTACGTGTAAACGACAAGTAATCACAGTTTCCAATATATTATATTCAAATTCTAATTAATAAAAGTGTCATTTTACTAAATTGTTCAAATATTGCTTTTTTTTATTAAAGTTCGATAATCTTCAATAATTCACAGGATTTAAGCTTTGTGCGTCGTGTGTGTGCGTGTGTTTGCTAAATCTGCATTACTACCTATATCCAACACAAAGAAAATTAAATTTGTGACAAAATTAACATAAATATCTAAATGTACGCTAGTGAAGCAAATAGACAACAATATCCAATCTTAAAGATAACGTGAAATAGGAACTGATCTCGATACAAATTCATAGCCTTAAGAATTCCGATATATGTATATCGAATAATGTAAACTCTTTCATGCGCATCAGATGGTTGTCGGGTACATCTAATTATGAATGCATAAAAATAAATTGTACACATAGATGAATTGATAAAATGTAACAATTGTGTACAATCTCATTCAATAAGGAGTAAATTCTCATTCTTGCTTACGTAATTAAATGATATGATCTAATAATCAAACAGAAAACATGATTGAAATTGACTGAACCCCATTCACTAATAGACTACAATGAGTAGTTAGATGTTATTTAAATCCTTATTCAGGTGTTGGTTTGCAGGGATTTAATTGGTTAAAGGATATCATAATGAACTGACATCCGTTAGAGAACCATTGGAAAACATGAGAGTACTGCCATACAGCTGTTTCGTTGTGATCTGGGACTCTTCACAGTACATACCCACCACAAAAGATTCGAACCCACGACCTTCTGGTTACGAGACGAGCTCGTAGACAATCAAACCACTGGGACCCGATTTAATGACCAGTGCATGAATCCCGACTTCCGGAAATTCATGATATTGCGTGACCACTACACAATGTTATCACTGGCGAGTATTTGTCCTCACACCTGACGTGCTGTACTCCACTGGTTGAGACTTCCCATTGGAAGCCAGTTAACTACCTACCTGAATAGGATGAGTCACTAGTGAGCATTAGATTGATATTGAAGTGTTGGTTTGGAGGGATTTGACTGGTTTCAGGATTTCATTATATATTGATGTCGGTTAGAGGAGCGTTTGAAAACCTCAGTGGATGCATGCAGACAAAGAGTCCCAAACTAGGCTGACGAAACAGCTTTCCAGTACTTGCAGGTTTTTCAATGATCGTCTAACCTGTATCTGTTCATGATGAAATACTGAAATCAGTCTTTATCATTGCTTCTCCCGAATTAATGCAAATAAGCTATTTATATATATATGCATATGTCTGACGGTTGAAGGTTAGGCGAAACTTGAGTCATCTCATGAATTATAGCAATATCATCAATATAATCAATTTCAATAAGACATCAACAGTTGTATCTTCTACTTTAAGATCTCGAAAGACTACACAGTCTTTTTTGATGTTTAACTTAGAGTGAAATATTATTCATTAAGGTTTTTACTGATATAGCAATCAGAGCGATTGTTTCCTCCAGTCATTTGACATAAATTCAAAGTGCCTCTTGATGACAACGAGGCGGCTTTGAAAGTCATTTACCGCGTACCAACTAGCGTTAACTTTGCCTTAAGAGTTCGTCTACTACATATTTCTGAGACTGGCTGTTGGGATCCACATTAAGAACCTAACTTGTGTATCCAAAAGAAGCTGGTTGGTTCAGACACTCTCCTTACCTTGGCCATCATGATTTTAGTGATCTTCAATTTGATGTGGAAATTTCCTTCATTTTATTTGATATTCTATTTGCTATTACTTTTTGATGCTTATTATAACTTAGGCGTCTTTCTTGAAATGTAATTCCATTGATCTTACTTAACAAATCGATAGTGTTTGAAAGCACCAATATTGTCTACAACGAATATTCTAGAATATTCTATGTATATAAACATATATGTATATAATTGTTGAGCCAGAAGAGGAAATTATCGAAAAGGATATTCTTTGCCCAATGTTTTTGTTTTTTCTAGATGTCTGAATGAATTTTTTTCGCTGTATTGAAATCTTTAGAAGTAACTAAAATCTACTTTCACCTCTGATTGATATTTAAATACTGCAATCTCTTGCATCTTCTATGATAATTCATATTATTTCGACTAAAATCAAAGTTAAAACAATTAGTCCCTTTGATAAATTTGAATAAGGCATTACGAAGACAAATTTCGCGAGATGATATCTTCATTTCGTAGTTTCTTTACAACCACTTTACAACTAACATGGTTAACTATAATAAAATAAAGTTCATGACAATTACTCAGTTAAATAAAAAGCAAAAGTAACTTACATCAGAGACATCATTTTAATGTGTACAGAAAATGTTAGATTCACCTTCCAAGAAAAAGCATACAAACAAGTCGATGGTGTTGCCCTCTGGTGCCCCTGTTAGCAGATATATTCATGTCGGAATTAGAGGAACAAATGCAAGATATTCTTGGAGAATTTATGCTATATAAACGTTATGTAGATGATACTCTCATTATTGGCAATAATAGTAAATCTATTGAAAACTTTATCACCCTATTTAATCATATTCATCAAAATATTCGAGTGACTTCCGAACTAGAATCGAATAACAAACTCGGTTTCCTGGATATTACAATGACTAGGAGAGATGATGGTACGATTCAGAGATCTATTTTTCGTAAACAGACATAGACTGGACAATATCTTCATTCTACCAGTTTTGTTCCTATCAAGTATAAACGTTCCCTAGTGAAATGTTTGTTCTCAAGGGCCTGAAAAATATGCACGAGTGACACAGTGATGGATGAGCTGCGACGTGTACATTCAGTTTTATTAGCTAATGGTTATCCGGAGAGCTTTATCACTTGTCACAGTAAAGAAAAACTACATCTCGAAAAGACAGCTTCTGTACCAAAGAAAGCTATCTTCATTAACCTACCATTCATGGGCGACCAGATTATGCAATTAACAACTCAAAGAATCCGGTCAGCCATCAAATGCACATTTTACGACGCATCTCTTTTCCTCACTTGCCGAACATTTTCGATCCCTGTTCCTACGATTAAAGGACGAAATTCTGTGGACTCTACTTCGAACTGTATCTACAAGTTCACCTGCAGCTGCGGTGACACCTATGTAGGTAGAACCAACAGAATGTTCCAATGTCGTCAAAAAGAACATGTTCCAAAATGGCTATTGAATCATATCGAAAATCCCAAAGCTACTGGTCTTAATAGAAATCCAGCATCATCCATTGCAAAACACTTATTAATGTCAGGTCACAAAATCAATATTAATGACTGCTTCACAATTATTTCACATAACTCTAATTGAAGGTGATGGAAGCACTTTGGATTAATCACATACAGCCTAAACTGTGTGTACAAAAATCAATAGACTTAATTTAATTTTTAATTTTTTAATTTTTGATTACAGCTTGACTCCACACCGTATTTTTGGTACAAGTATGGAATTTTCAGCGTGGATATCGGTAGCCCAAATTTTGCAGGCCGACCATAGATATCAGGAGTGCGTCGGCGAGGGCTCGAACCCCGGACCCTGTGCATGGTCGGCGAGAATCCTAACCACTGTGCCACCGACGCACTTCAATCTTCGCCTATCATGGACTACATGACCTTTTAAATATGATTGGTCATTAGTATGTACTTTTGTTTTTATTTAACTGAGTAATTGTCACGATCTTTATTTTATCATTGTTAACCATGTTAGTTGTAAAGCGGTTGTAAAGAAACTACGAAATGAAGACATCATCTCGCGACATATGTCTTCTAAATGCCTTATTCAAATCTAAAATCAAAGTAATATTTGACAGTATTTCTATTTACAAGTGTCTAAATCAATGTAATTTCCATATTTGTACTTTTTTATTGATTGTTTGCTTATTTTTGTTTTAAACAGAAGATAAATCACTTTCCTGGAATGTCAGAAATATGTCGCAAAGACAGTCTAGCACGTAATTTAAACCGAATGGTCAGACTGTTTCCTAAAGATTATAACATCTTTCCCAAATCTTGGTGTCTTCCATCTGAGTAAGTTGATTTCCTACTAATATTATACTTTTCTTCAAAAATAAATATTCTCGGCTTTTAAAAAGCTTCGTTGTGAACTAACTGACTCATTTTCAAACTCATTTGTCATCGAATAATCTCAGTCTATAAGTTTAATCGATATGGCAAAATTAAGATTAGTTAAATGAAAGATAAGGTCAAGATGAAATTTACAACAAAATGAGACAAGTAGGCAGTGTCGGAAACAGATGACAAGATTTAAAACGATTTATGAATGAGTGTACATGAAGTAACTTACTGATGGAACATAAGAATGGTAGCTGTCAGTTCAAATTCTAATTTTAACCAACTATTTAGTAATAGCCTTCAAAAATGCTACTTTACACGTAACTGTGGAGTCCCTGACATGAAAATCTCACCAATTTATTTCGCAAATTTAAGTTCATATGACACTTAAGATCAACTCCTGGAAGTAGACTATTGTGTGATCATAAATTCGGCCTACCAGTCATTACGAGATAATCACTAGCTATCCAGCTGTCTATCTGATAGCTGACTACAACTTTGTGAGACATTTGGGTGAACGTCGAATCAAGTGATACCGAAAGAGTGAAAATGAATTCAGAGTGGTTAAGAATATATGTTTGGAACTTCTGGAAAAATGATGACAGACTTCTCATTTCTACTTTTTTTTTGATAATTGAGCTCAGCTAGTTTCAATTCAATTATTTGGGGCAAACGTTTACATCTGCAGTGATGTCACCCACACTTGTATAATACCTGATGATGTAGACAGAACAGGATTCGAACTGTAGTTTAGTTCACTTACATGAAAACTCTGGAAAGTTAAAGTTAATTGTTAACTGTCAGTTCCACATCACAAAACCGATTCCAATAGTATAGATGTATTCTCCCACAGATATCTTCTAAAAATATTGAACAATTTTTACAAAATCTTTTTCAGACTTTCGGTCAGAATGACTGAAGAGAACATTTTATGCATAAATAAGCCATTTTTGTTTTCTACAACGTATGAAGATAAAGTATCCTTCATATGAAGACTGAATTCATATTGCATACCACAACGTTCTACAAGGGCGGAATTAAACCATTTACAGCCCAGAATATTTTCTCAGTATTGGGATAAATATATCAAATTTGTCTCAATGGTTCTTCCTTGTTTGTGACTTCATCAGTGCACACCCATAACCCTATTAGGGGTATAACCTAAGACCTCCTGGTTAAAAGGCGAGCTCGCAGAGTATTCAGCCACTGGGAATCGATCCAATGGCCCAGTGAGTCTAACTTCTAACAGTTAAGGATTTTTAACGCAGCCACCAGCCAATGTTATTGACGACTATTTATCCTCACACATCCAACATGGTGAACCTTTAAATTCAAGCAACTTCATTCTGTATTCAGTCACTAGTGTGCAGTAAATTAATTTTCAAGTCTTAATCTGCAGGAATTTAATTGATTTTAAAACTGATGAGGGAATGACCTCATTTTATTCACTTTAAGATTTTACTTATAGCCAATTGGTCAAATGAATTCGATAAAAATATAGCACTGATTACCATGCAGTGATTGATTTGGATTCGTTATAGTACAAAATGCATCAGGTTTAGATAGAAGCTTACAGGTGAACGCTAATCTCAAAATAAGCAACTCATACATCTGGAACACTTCAATTAATTTAGTAATTCACTAGCATAGTGCTCAAAATTTCAGTAATTTCTAGAGGCGCGCATAATTAGCACATGGCAAATAAATGTTTGGTAGTTCTTACTGGAACATGAATAAAAGTTAAGCAGATTTTAATATTTCAAAGTGCGATGAGCATTAAGCTTCTCTTAATCATTTTTCATCCACTTTAAGAACCTATAGATTTTTGAGTAAAAATCTAATACATTACGATTAAAAAAATGCATTTCAGTCAGCATAATCAATGTGGTAAGAACCAGAATCAGTTAAAATTGAATTACGCTTCTTGACTGCAAGACTTATGTGGCTGAACGAAGAGTTAGATGGTTTAAACAAATATCATGCTGAATTTCAGCCAACATGGTAGAAAAATTTTTTGTTCTTACATGAACCAAAGTGAAGTAGTTTACTAATGTAGCACTTTGTACAAGACAGCTGGGGTTACCACATTTTAGAAGAGCCTATATAAAGGTAGATAGAAGCGATTCAATGAAACTACAATAAATTGAAATGTATGGCATAAAGGTTATTTTAACAAAGAATAATCAGGGTATAATTAAGTTGGAAAATCACAAAGAGTGAATACATCTGTGTTTTTCAAAACGATATCGAACTATGACACCAATAGTCTCCAGCCGTTGACTCTTAGCATTCCGATGTCCTCACCCATGTAGTCAAAGCATCTCTCTGTGGCTCCAATCATCAGCTAAAGACTCTATGAGCTAGTACCATACCTGACGTCTTTTTAACCTAATCCTATCGCAATTTACAGTAGTTCTATCTGAATTCTGGTGATCATGAGCATTATGTTGAATAATGTTTGCCAATTTCGGCTTCAGGGTACTAAAAAGAACACATGGTTTTAGTTTTCAGACTGATAGGTGTCCATTAGTTGAATATCTTATCAACTGTTAGAAAACTGACTTTGAACACATATCACTGTGAATTAAATAATAGAAACATCACTGTTAAACAATTCTGCAGTGACTATTTCAGTTTACCAATTTATCAGGAAGAACTTTTATCCTGTCCTAGTGTTAATAAACTTCAAATCAACTTTATTACCACAACTATAATTCATATTTTACATTTATCTGTTTCATTTCTTTTTGTAGTTGGAATGATATACAAAATTATGCAAGAAAACACAAAAGTAAAACGTATATTTTAAAGCCAGATAATGGATGTCAAGGTCGTGGTATTTATATCACTAAAAATGCTAAAGATATTCGACCATTGGAAAATATGATTTGTCAAGTGTATATATCCAAGGTAAATATATAAAATGTCGTATTCCTTTAGATAAATAAATGATAAGTTTATATATTCCTAAATTAAAGCATTTCTCGTTATCTGTTTCATTGGATTGCGTACAGCATATGGCAGATTGGTTTAAGCAATCGATTTGCAGTCACAAAGCCCCCTAGTTCAAGTTTCTCTCTGCCTACTTCAGCGCAGACAGCTGAGTAGCATCATTAGCCAACAAAGAATAAATCCCACTCGTAGCGCCGTTCTGGGCAATTATTATTCATTATTATTATTTCACTGGGTTCCGAGTAGATAATCGGTTTCAGCAACACATCTCCACTATGTTCTGTTTTCCGTTCTCCTCTTCAGCTGGGTCCACGATTGTCCATAATCTCCAATCTCCTCCTATCTAAACGATCTCCTCCATGTTACCCTTGCACCGATGACGCACTCATCGCTTCCTACTGGGATTGCAATCGAGCGATGGCTTGCATTGCGCAAAATGTTATTTGACGGATTCCTCAATGTATGTCCTATCCATCTCCATTTTCTCATGTAACAACAGAAGACAAGGGCCAGGCAACAGATCGTTTTATTATGAAAATCAACACGTATTTATACATATTTCACATACATTATTATAGCTTATGCAAGTAGACAAGCGCAGTTATCTGATTGGTTGTTTATCAGAAGTTAGGCAGACAAACGCAGGCTTCTGATTGGTTGTTTCGGGATTCCTCGACAAATAGAGTTCTCTATCTGCGAATCATATTTTGCCACGTTAACTTTGCTGTGATTGGTTGTTGAATCAGCCTTGCTCATATTTTCTCACGGCCTGCTCTCACCACACTCATACATATTTCTTGAGCGATCAGCTCTTGGTTGGGTTTTTTTTCCCAGCCAAAGTGTCTTGTTGCTAATTCTTTCTAACTGCCCGGTGATTTGATCTTCAATATACAGCAAACGAAAGTGGCAACTGTTGATAAAAGTTGGAAATTGTTTTCGTGTCACACATTGCAAGTTTCTGACCAGTAAAGAAGGACTGACTTCACATTTGTGTTAAAAATTTGAATCTTGTTCTTTATCCTGACTGAGTACTGGAAACTTTCAAACTGGTTTCAGGTTGATTAAGGCGTATCTTACCTTTCCGATTCTCACTGGCCTTGACATCTTCATCCGCGCCGTCCACCTGTAGTTGAAATGATGCTTCATAGATAAGTGAAGGAGGTAACCTCTGTTAAATCTCTCCCCCTGATGGTGACTGATGCTGGTTATTGTCGTTATTGTGGTTCGTTGGTTATCTTCATCATCTCCGTCTCCACCTTCTCTATGCTCTCCTTGATTCCTGTTTTTGCTGCTCTCCCCTTTTGCCAGTTTGTTGGTTTTCGCTTGCAAGTCTTCGAGTTTATGTGACATGAAAAAAAGTCATTTTTGAAATCCAAATCCTCTAAAGTCTTCTTATCGATGGTCCAGCTTATTTCTGTCTCATGGCGCACAATCCAGTCCATCACAATTAGTAATATCATCGTGGGTGATAACAGGCAGCCTTCCTTTGTCTTACTCCTGTATTCACTTCGAACGCCTCACTGAGGTTTCCGTTGTGGATCACCTGACACGCGGCACTGTCATATAGCCAGCTGTTGAATGAGGCTGATAAAGACTTAAGGTACGCCATGGTGTTGAAGTAGTTTCCAAATTACTTCTCAGTCAATACTGTCTGTTGAAGGCTTGTTCGAAGTTGGTGAAATTGAGGTAGAGGTTTGACTGAAAACAAGTAATTAAGTCCTGTAAATAAATAAATATATTATTTGGACTGAACTGATAGGTTTCTGTTGACATATGGCATCCCACTTAGATAACCCTGATACAAATTCTAGACTATTAGGTAAGAGATGGGTAACAGCGACGCAGCAGCATGAAGGCTGGAACTATGCTGTGTGAAACAATGCGTAATGACTTTGAGTATTATTGGAAACACGATTGCTCACTGGAATGCAAATACCTTGTGAACTAATGGGTCGCAAATAGAAATGACGTCCAGGATTTCACTCCAAGACATAATTCATTAAACAACAAATTGATGACAGTGACTACATTTTGTATTTAAACAAACGCATATTCCAGAAAATGAAATATACTCGAAAGTGATTGCATAATAAAAGCAAAAGTTTAGTGTATATCAGCCTAAATTATTACAAAATATGCTGCAGCAGTATAAAATGTTACTTTAGAATTCTCGAAACTTGTTTATTCATTCATTAACGCTTACTGCTTATCTTATATCTCTGACCTAATAGTAACTTACACACCGGTCGAATTTCAGAGAGAAAACTCTAAAACAATGCTATGGATGTGTGGTTTAAAATTTTATCAGAAATTTATCGATTGAGTTTGTAATCTAGTGAATAAATTAGTCGACACAAGACAGGAATGAACTTCAAAACGTTTTGTGTATTGTTTCTCTATGTTTGTATTTCATCTAAAGCCCAAGTAAAGTACATTATAGTGCATTATTCTGCTGTGTCATCTGACCTAGTCAATTTAATTAAACTGTTTTCTAATACTCAGCTCACTAGTCAACAATGTCTTCATGAACCGTTAGCAGAAATCATTCGGCATTATGCCATAATGAACCTTTATGCACTTAACGATTATGTAGAGTCTAGGCTATTATAAAAGTGAAGACGGAAATCCATGTATTTTATGCATCTAGTTATCAGTATTCGAATAATCAGTAGAATGAAATCAAATATTCTACATTGATTGACAGAGAAAAAATTTCACACTGGTCGTAAAATCTTGATTACTTGCATACATTTAAAGATACCTACAAATTAATTAATAAAAATATATTATCATTAAAATTTATGATGAGACTAAGCTCAGACTCTGTAGGATTACGTTTATATCGATTTTCATGGTTACTCTTTTCTAGTGGAATTAAAAACTACTCTAGCAATCCGTGATCAAACTCAAAAAACAAATCAAATCCTTACAAATCAACTCTTGAAAATTAATCTGATGCTCGTTAGTGACTGGCTACAGGACTCGGTTGCCTGGAGTTCTAGTTAGAAGTCGTGACCAGTGAGGTCCAATTAGATGTCACGTGTATGGATGGATATCCCACCAACGACAATGGTTGGTGGTCGCACTAAATACATCACGAATTGGTAGAAGTAAGAATTCATGGGCTAGCCACTGAATCAGGTCTCATTGGCTGAATGGTATACGAGCTTGCCTTATAACTGGAAGGTCCTGGGTTCGAACCCTGGTTGTGGGGGCGTACTGCCGAAGATTCCGAAATGGGGACGAAACAGCTTTTCAGTACTCCCTGTTGGTTTTCACTGGTTCTCTAACTGATATCAATCTGCGGTCACGCCCGAAAAACAAACCTAATCCTCACAAATTAACCCTTGAAAATATTAACTAATTAAAATTTCCAGTGAAGAAGATTTGAGCTCAGGGATCAGCTTCACCATAAACAATAATTTGAGAATCATGAACCAGATTGCAAACAATGTAAAGAGCATCATGCAACAAAAGTTTTGATTTATCTACAATCATTCGATAACTGCTATGTGGGAAGGATGTTATTGTTTTCAAGTTTTCATACTGTCCACTCATGATCATGCGTTCCTCAATGGCATCATATGTTAGTTCACTCACCATATCAATCTTTCCCAGTTTATCTTTAGTCAGGTGGTACTCTCTCACGAGTAGCAATCTCAATAAGTTCTCCTTCAAGGTCACTAACCTATAGGAGAGCAGGTGTTTTTCACGCGATAACAAATGGTCGGCTTCATCATCGAAACCCCAAAGACAACCAACCAAATTAGAGCCAGTGTCTTTAGCCCTTTCCACTATTTCTTCCGATTTCTTGCGTTCATAATCTCTTAGTGTGCTGTAAAACAAGAGAAACAGGTTACACTTTTCGGTGATTGGAAAAGACATGCAAAATTACTAGTCTTTGGTTTTCTTCTGACTTAGGCACTTAGAGGTTAGAGAAATCTTTGTAAACAATCACATCTTTGATCAACAAGAAGTCTTCAAGATAGCTAACAGCCTTCCTTTCTACTGTGATATGTTCAAAATCCACATCATCTTATTCAGAATCAGTAAATGATGAGGCCATTTTCTGCACAGATTCTCTGACACCGGTTGACAGTTTTTGATCCTAGAGTTGTCAAAACAGTTTTGATAATAAGACGTTCTCTTTTCTCAGACTTAACACTGATTTCTTTCAGAACAGGAAGACAGTGAGCTTGGAGCCACCTGCTATTCGAAGTGGATGAATACCCTTCCCAAAAATGAGCCGTCTAGAATGACAACACTTCTCGTACTCCTCGTCTGTTTCATCATCTTGTGGTCTAGTCAAGTAAACCAGTAGTTTGACTCTTGTTTCATGTTTCACATCTATTTGTCGGGGATGGGCCGACAATCATTTGCAACAATTACATCAACATTAGAACTCACAAGCAACTTTTCTAGACCGTTCAGGTCTAAGGATGTTCTTAGGGTCCCCCCCCGCAACTGCTTTTGGCATCATAATATGTGATTTGTGTATATCCTTACCACACAAATGCTTTTTCTTATCCCGATCTTTCAGAATCATATGAGGCCCTTGGTATAAGTGACACTGAACTGAATGAGAACCGTAGTACTTTGTTCTGTCACCTATCAGCCGTCCATATTCACCAAAAGCAAGGTGTCCTTTAGTCTTCCCTGGGAAAGTTGGCATACTGATTAGATATAACTCAGAATTCCAGTTATGTTTTAACTAGCTTGTGAATGATTTAACAGTTAGTGTTGAAATCGCTGAAATAAAACCGAATAAAATACTTAAATATCCATTAAGGAACAACTATTAAATGGGTTCTATATTGCATTCTCTTCTAAATCATTTTTAAACAATGTGAGAAATGACGGCTGAAGAAAAAATGAAATAATTTTCGATTAGTTGTTCTAGTTTGATGTGAATATTATGCATGCGGTTCCAAGTAAGGTTGTTGGACAGTTCCGCAGAAAATTTAATCGACCGACTGCTGTAAATTAAACTAGCAGTGAGTGAAATGGACGTTTGCTAAAAATGTCATGAACTGACTAAATCTAGACAATAAAGTGATAAATAAGTTCATTGACATTCAGAAGAAGATTCACCTAGATTTAAACGTTATCAGGTTGAATTTCCCATCAATTCTGTGGTTCATTTAATGCATCTGCGTTGCTTGTTTACTTCTAGCATTCAGCTATTTATGTATAGATTTTCAGCTTAATGCTTCACTGCAATATTGTACTTCTTTTGTTGTCTTCCTCTTACTTTACCAGTGAAGATCATAATAAGTTACACTGATGAACTGTCATAACAAATTTCTTGTTGGCAGTTTTGTTACTGTGTAAGACTGAGTTATTATAAATGGAATTCTGGATAACTAGACACTATTTTCCCTATCTGTGTCAAGGGAAAGCTAAGGAGTAAAACAAATTCAGTGTAGATTTTGTCAAGAACTGAAGAATCAGTTAGAGAATTACTGAAAACCAAGAGGCACTGGTTTGGGGCTTCTCAGAGATGGGCAATCACAACTCCATCAAGGGTTCGACTGGCTTTTCACTCTGCTCACCAGCACTCTTTAGTCAGAACATCTAAAACATGAATGACGAATGTTCACCAGTTTAATAATAATGAGAGCTTCATTTTGAACAGTATTTATCTATAATTTACACAATTCTCAGAGGAGTTTATTGTATGATATTTTCCCTTCATACAACATCTTCAAGTAAAATATTAATTGACAGTATATTCGTTCTGTTATGATATTTCTGCTTTGTCTCCTTCAAGAAATCCATGACATCTAGTTGAAAGTCAATTTTAAGAAGTACAGAAGTATATTTTTTGGTGGCTGTACATAACTCAAAAACAGTTATCTCATGTATTAAGACTCGTTGCCACCCACAATAAAACCTTTTCTTAATTTAAGTAGGAACTTGTGAATCAGAAACCGGATATCGCTTCTTCGTCTCCTTCGAGAAATACACGACGACATTTTGATGAATGCCAATTATTAAAAGTTCAAGAATAGATTTTGTGAACGAGGGACACCACCCAGGAACGGTAATCTCATGTACTGGGATAAACTGCCATCGAGGATAATGATTTTTATCACGCTTAGTAAAAACTTGCGAAACCGTAGGTTGTAAATATTTTAAATGTTTGCAAAGGAATACTACACTACCAGAGGTCATATTTCACCGGATTTAAACAAACTGAATAAGAGAGACTATGTGCAGCACATTGATAGAGGTTTTTAGGAGCCCAAATTTTAAGCAGGCCGCCTTTTCAAATCTTCTGTTCATTATTACATATAGATCAGTCAAAAAATATTCACTAAAATAATGTTCCATATTAGTTTGTTTATTAGATGCATCACACAGTGAAACAGTATTATTTACTGGATGACGTCATCAGTAGTAATTCCATACGCGGAAGGAACCTCGGAAACCTTACGCAGAATTCTTAACAATGCACGAATTAAAGTGGCTGGCATTAAAACCAACCACAAACTCGATTAGAAACAAACTTTGTCGGTTAAAGAATCCTCTGAGGCCTTTATCTAAAACCCTGCCTACGATGATTGTCAGGTCAAATACATAGCTCAAACTAGTAGAACAGGGGTAGTCAGATTAGCTGAACATAAAATCCTAGCTAAATCTAGATTGGTTGATCCGAATAAGATAAGAAATCTAGAGAACAGTTTAGCTATACCACTCACTACATGCAATCACACACAACCATACGATAGGGCGGGATAAGATGACAGTTTTAAAATCTGATGTCACAGGGTGGAGGGAAAGATTTATAACAGAAGCTTTGTTTATCGAATCAGCTGCAAATACATGTAATGGGAATGATTCAATACCTATCCCAGATATCTGGAAAATTCTAATACCCCTACGACAAATAGGAGAGGACAAAGGAAACTATAAAACTCACATTTCGAAGTTGTGTGATTATAATTGATATAATTATGAACAATAAATTTTGTTCGAAACGTCGTCCACTAAATAATACTGTTTCTTCACTGTGTGATACATCTAATAAACAAACTAATATGGAATTACTTACTGCAATAGTGCCCAAGTTTTACACATATATTAACGTTATTTACACATATAAAACATTATTTTAATAATGTTTTAAAATTATAATTTTAAACTAGACAGAGTTGTTTTAGTAAATTTTATAAATGAAAAGATTAAATGTTTTTCATTTATTTTTTCCCTATAGCCTTTTCTTATTGATGGATACAAATTTGATATGAGGATATATGTTCTGCTGACTTCGTGTGATCCACTGCGTTTATTTGTATTTAAAGATGGTTTAGTCCGCTTTACTACATGTTCATATGCTGAACCAAATCAACGTAATGTACATGATATGTATATGCATTTAACTAATTATGCTGTACAAAAGCATAGTGACAGTTATATTAGAGATAATGAAGAAGGCGGTACAAAACGGCGTATTACAACACTCAATCGATGGTTTACAGATAATGGTTATGATGTTAAGAAAGTAAGTTATTTGTTGTAAATTTGGTTGAAGATTTTTGTTTTATTCTTTGAAGTTTGCGACTGGAATATATAAGGCTTCAAAGTTTGAAGTCTGAGTAGCACTTGTTTCTTCGTTTCACTAGGTAAGATCGCTAACCTGACGCCCCACCTTCCTTTTTTACCGAGCTTACTACTGGCTAGGCGAGATTCGGGAACAAGTAAGCCAAGATTTGAACCCTGGAATACACGCATATTTCGAGGGTGTTCTACCGCTGAACCACCGACGTACTTGTACTTTTTCTAAAGTTTTTTTTCCTAATTTCCTTAGCTTTTTTCGATGCTGTCTAGCAGAATAGTTACGGAAGTCGAGAGAACAACAAATTTTAGAGATGAAATTCATCATTACTACCTCGTGCTACCCTTCCACTAGTAGAAACACATAGTGTATGTTATCGTCTAATATTGTGCATTGGTTTATATACCATTTTCTGATAAAATCTTCTCAGATATGTCATGAGATGTCAGACTTAAATTAGATCTTCTGCAGGTTAAGGCCATCAAAATATATGAAAACTTTTGTACATAGAAAGTATTTTAAACAGCCAATACTATATGGATATCTAAGTGGATTAAGACAAATAGGTTAGCTTCGGCAGATGCTGAGTTTAATAGCAATCAAGTGTATTTCAAGAGCCATCACATTCAGACCTCAGTAACATACAGATTTTACAGAATAGTGCAGTAATTTTAAAACTATGTGACCACACACTTGGGTTGTCGTAACATATGTTGTACACAGCATTATTTTCCTTGATTTCCTTAAATTCCCCTTAATATACATACTTTTATTGTTTCGTATTTCCATTTTGTCTTATGGCTTCTGACAGCTGGTTAGTCTTAATCACATAGTAAGTGATACTGAGATTGGACTGGCAGTACTAGGTACGAAAAGTACATCAACAGGAGGACTGTAAATTTCTGTTGACTAAGTTGACTTGGAAATATGTCACGCATACTAAGTAGTCTCCTTTCTTGATGAGCAGCATGGCTTCAGAGTCGGAGGTTCAGTGGTAGAACTCTCCCCAAACCACGCACACTGTCCGGGGTCAGATCCTTGCCTGATTCCCACCTAAAGCTTGCTAAGCTGGTAGGAAGCCGGATAAAGGGAGAAGGTCTGACGTGTGGCTAGCTATCTCACTCAGTAAAAATAGAAATTTCAAGGCTCAAGCTTGAAGCCTTATATTTCACTCGGAATGTAAAGGAATAGAAAAAATGACTTCAACTAGGAAAGAAGTTTAAAGTCGTCAGATCAAAACATAGGTAACAGAGTCTCTGGTGGATGGTTTGGGCTGCAAATAAAGGCATAAATTACCCTACTGAAGTTCTACAATTGTTCGGGATAAAAGTTAAGAACTCCATTTAATATTGTGCCATGTGCTACTGATAAGATTTATCAATAGTACATGAAGAAACGTTCATCGGCATAAACAACATCACATAGCAGGGAGACAGATTTGATGTCAGAGAAGGCAAATGTCACAGTGTTGTGGAGATACATGAGAGATGTAGAAGGAACACAAAGGTACACAATATGAAGGAAGGCGAGAAGTAGCACAAGACGGAAGATCTGTGCAAATGATGATTTGAAGAAAAGGTGTACATAATTTGGCTATATAGGAATACCATATGACAAATAAACATTTCCTTACCCAAGTACCATTACAATATGACTAAGGATCATTTATAATCTTGCACACCCAATCAACTTATGATTGTCGCACTGGTAGAAATCCCTACTGATCTGTAATCCCGACCGAAAGCTGCTACCTTGACGTGATGGTCGGGCTTGAACACCGCAATAACCTAATCAAGCTATACTGGCTGAGACTTATGTCTCTTGAGGTTCTACCATGCCAGGCAGGTTGTTTGGATAGCGGTTAAACAAAAAGCAGCTACCCAATCCAACATCATGTCCAATACAAAATTACAAAATTTCATGCCGGATCGGCCGTGGCCCGGGTTAACAACGACCACGCTTCCTGCTGCCGTGTCACAGGGCGGGAGTGATAAATCTGCTACTGAGACACACCAAACAAAACAGAACAAACAAAAACAGGCCGCGTGTGACCGGCCTCAAGCAGTTGTCCCCTGGGCTCTGCGGTCACGCAACCAACTTCCACGGTGTGGGCAGCCGGGAAGTAACAATCGCCCTCACAATCCGAAATGCACACGAAACCTCTCTATTACTCACTCATCTTTGTCTTCATCTTCATCTCTATCATCTTGCCTTCCTTCCACTGATGCAACTCCTCGACTTGATAGCTCTCCACTTCCTCTCCACTCTGCGTCCACTAAAAACGATGGAAGCCAAAAAACCACCACCGACAGCCTCTTAAAGCCGCGCCACCAATTTCATATAGGAGCTCTTAATGTTCGGACACTTTGCCAAATAGGACAACAAGCATCACTAGCCAAGACCCTGGCATCGCGAGCCATTGATGTATGCTGTGTTTCAGAAACACGCATACAAGACCCAAGTGTGGTTATTCACCTAACCCCACCTGGCCAACAGGTTGAATCTGCAAAATTCACCCTGAGGGTGTCAGGAGATGCCACAGCTAGTTCACGAGGATTAGCTGGCGTAGGGATAGCCTTGAGTACTAGGGCAGAAAAGACATTGCTTGACTGGATCCCGGTAGATAGCCGAATGTGTGCTGTCCGCCTGAACGGGTCAGTAAGAAGGAGGAAGGACTGCACTACTCGCCGATGCCTTTTCGTAATCTCCGCCTACGCCCCCACTGACTGCAGTTCAGATGAAACGAAGGATGAGTTCTACCAAAGACTGATCTGTAATGACTTTTTTTCTTTACTCTCATGCACAAATGCTTATTACAGCGTACACCTTTATCAGTTTGATAAATAATAACACTTTAATGAAAGCTGTATCACAGTTCACTAAATTTATCATGTTGTCTTTCGTCCTTCGTTCTCATACATATGCTTCAGTTAACTTTCCTTGCTAATTTAACCAGTTGTAAAGTTTTGAATGGTGTTTACAATGGCTATACAGACCAACTGTAAACATATGAGAGTAGATTTCATCAAGAGAGAGAGCTTTTTTCTTCATATGGTAACATTTTCAATTTAAAAAGTGTTCAGACAATCGTCTTGATTCTTTATTTCATCAAATGGACCCATTTCAATGTGTTCAGTGACTTTCTTTATATATTTAGATTTATCTACTAGAACTACTTTCTAGTTTCCTTTATCAGCTTTTGTGATAACAGTGTTTTCATTCTTTTTAAGATTAATTAGAGGTAGCCTTTTCGATTTTGGTTAAATTTGACTGTGACTTCTTTTGTTTTATTTTTTAGAGTTAATGCATATTGGGCTCGAACCTTTTCAGCTGTCGTATTATCTATTGAACTTAATGCTATCTTTACGTTAGGGATGACATCCTCTGGTTTCAGTTCATCAACCGTTATACTGAAATCTAATCCCTTTTATCTCACTAGAGCTTAATTAACTTGATGAGAGGTTGATCACACAATTTGTTTTGTCAATAGAAGATGAAACACTTTTGTCAAGTTCTTCATTTATTGTGCCTTTCTTTTCTTTTAATAATTAGTTAAACTTAGTTTGTGTGGTTCTCAATTTTCTAAAGGTTGTTTCTTCAGCTTTATTGGATGTTTCAGTCACAGTTTCATAATCTATGTCACTGATCGTACATTTGAGTTTGTGTATGAGTTTTTCATTTTCACGCCGTACATTGTTTAGTTTCATATTAATGCTATGTCGTTCTTTTTCTTCTCTTCTCTCTGGCATGTTCCTCTGCCGATGTTATTTTTCTTGATGTAATTGGAGTAAGTAGGAGAAAGTATCTAGGAATTATATCTTTTTTAAACATCCACTGTTGAAAATTCGATGATTTGTGAATCTTGCTTCTGATTGACAGAGTCGTGTGAGTTTGTTGATAAACTTTCTAGTAGGAAGACCACAGTGCCTAAGTTTTGCCTTTAAATCGTCTTGATATTGAACCAAACTAAATCCCATCGACTTAAAGGGCCAGAATATGTCCTATGCATACGGAGATACCACTTGCCTTGATGATCAACACCAGTTGAAGTAGGATTTGACGAGAATAATGTTAAGGACGGCCAGATTAAATACATGTTAGCAGTCTGTTAAGTCTTCAACTGTTAGTATGAGTCATATAGATAGGTTTTCTTTAACTTTAACTAATAAACTTTTGTGAGAAGTTCTACGCTGACTAGTCAAACAGTTTGTCAGATTACCGCGTACGTTTTCCATGCCGATATGAATCGTATACAAATGTATGAAATTACGTAATCGTCTGCGTTCACGAATATGGACTTCAATCAGTGGTAATCCTGCAGTCTGTTATTCAATTCATTGAGTATTACTTACAGGCTATTCCATGTTTCAGGCTAAATCTCTACAATGGTTGACTGTTTTTGTATTATTTGTCACATGTCAACTAGCTGCCCGAATATTGTGATGTATTTAGAGAGAATTCGCAAATTAAGGCTACCAGCTTTTCTGTGGTTGTAATAAAAACAGATTTATTAGTTTGATTTAACCTAAATGTTTAAGGTGCTCAAGGATACAAAGATAAACTTTTCACCTATCCAAAAATCTTCATCGTTGTACTACGTGGCTTAGGCTGTAATTCTACTCTACTGATACCTACGAAATCTTATGGCTATAAAAATCCTGATAGTACAGAAAACAATACTAATGTAAATTATAAATCAATAGATACATATATATATTCTTAGTAAGATGAACTTGTTTCTATAATTTTAACATAACTTTCTTTGTTAGATTTCTCAATGTTATACACTTACTTACCTTGTAATCACATGTTAACTTTTAAAAAATAGGTGAAATGTCTTTGTTAGTGTGACATCCGTTTCTTAAAGGCTGATTTATAATTATTTTGGGATGGTGAAAATCTTCTAGTCTGTTGTATGGTTAAATGTTTTCTCCTTTAAAGAAACG